CGGGCGTGCGCGCCCGTCCCGGCGGCGTGGTGGGCGATGAGCAGGGTCCCCTTCGCCTGCCGCTGGGGAGCTGCCTCGCTCAGCTCGGCCTCTGCCTCGGCGTAGGAGCCCCTCTCGGTAGGGGCAGGGTGGGGAGAGTGGGGTGCTCGGGCTGGTCGGTTGGGCTTCCCGCCGCCAGAGCTGCGGGGCGATCGTTGACCGGACCGGTGCCCTGCTCTCCACGTTGGGGTAGGGGGGTGCTGAGCTGCCGCAGTGCTGCCTGCCGGCGTCACCGTGGTCCCAGGGCCTCCCCAGGGCAGTCGCCCCTGTCGAGTGTACAGGGCAGCTGTGACAAGAGCTCGGTTTCTGCCCGGTGGCTCACAGACTGCTCCTCGCCGGCCGGTTCTGTGAGGAGCTGGCAGAATGCGGGAGCGTGCCTGTGCTGGTTCCAGCTGCTAAATGCCGTTAAAGGAGATCACGAAACGCTGTTTCTACACAAATGCTTGCTATGCAAGAGGTTGCCGGTAGTGTTGCGGAATTGCAAATGATAGGATGAAAGGGGAAGTGGAGGCAGTAGCAAGTAAAAAGATTAAAAGAACAACCTTTATTAAAAAAAAGGAACAACCCTTACTAAAAGAACAGCCTGTGCCGAGCTGTTGGCAGCCTGTTTTGGCACTGGATAACATAGCACTGGAAACTTGCGGTTGCCAGCCTCCATGGGCGCTCTGGCGAGGCTCTCTAGGGGCAGTTGTCAGTGGGGTGTTACCCCGCAGAGCCTTGCCCCATATAATTCTTTTCCTTGATATTTTGTCATCTGTGTTTTTACATCAGATCCCTGCTTCCGCTACACTGTATTCTCCTCATGTGGCAACGCTTAACTTTGGTTTATTCATTTTACACTCTTCCTTTACCATGAGAGACACACCAGGTTTATGATGGGTTATTATCACAAATCCTTGGAATGTTACTACTGTGGTACTGAGGCTGTTCCAGAGACGATACCATTTGCAGGTTACGGTGGTTTGAAGGGAAGGCCTAAAAATGCAGACAAGATTAAAATAGGGTAAGTGAAGGAATGGGCTTGCTTTCTCATTTCTGGGGGCTTGGAGAGAGGATGCAGAGATAAGAAAGGGCTGAGGAACTAGATGCTGTGAGACAGATCTGGTACAGTTCAACACAATTATGTTTTGATAATATTCGAAATATTATCATTATCTGGCAAAAACCAGTGTTACTCTTGTAAGTATATCAGAAGGCTTTGACTTACTGCTGTAGACACTGAAATAGATTGTCACAAGTCTTAAGATGAGATTCTGCATTCAGGAAAACCCGTGGAGTGTTGAAAGTTCTTGAGGGAGTCTCCAGTTTTCAAAGCAGAGTAGTACTGTTTCCTGCCCATTGGCTGGTGAAGTTTAGAATGTATGTTTTTAGAAAACCAAAGTGGACAAAATGGCATTGTTTTAAACTGGAGTAAAGCATTCAACGTAACACAGAGGAAGCAGATGTCAAAGTATGGATAAATCTGTAAATATTATGGAAGTAGCTTTAAAGCAGGGAAAAAGAAAATGAAAACCCTGTGTTATAGATAGCAGCAAGATTTTGGCTGAGAACTGAAGTGCTGAATTAAGAAGACGGATAGCAGAGCCACAGACGTGGAACAAAGAGGACTTTTAAAACATTTTAAATGCCTTTGAAGCATTCCTTAGTGATGGTGTAGCCATCTGTTGATTGACATGTTGAAGACAGGTGGCAAGGAGGGGATCAGAGAGTGAGTTGAGAGAGTTGTAGAGTTGGATATCATCTGCATAGAGCTGATGCCCTTTGTTGAAACTGGCAATGAGATCTCCCAGAGGAACGTGAGAAATAAGAAAAAAAGAAACCAAAAAAAACCCTCTGAGAAATACACACAGTCGCAGTACTCTCTCGTGCATGCTAGTGCATATTCAAAGCAATTCTAATTCTGACTTTATTACAGTTTGTTATGATTAACATTGGTATGAGAAAGGAATCAATTCCATGTGTCTTCTGTTAAACAGAAAGTGCTTTGGGCATCATCATCAGGTCATACTGATACTTGCAATTGACAGGGATATTTTGAACGTGTCTCTGGATGGATCAGGTCTACTCAGCAGCGTGTCTACTACTAGGGATGTGTGTTTGTAGAGATACAGGAGCCCAAACTTGTCCAAAAGTGGAAAAATACCTAAATTGAACCTCTTTGTTCAGATATTCCACCAAGAATTGAAACTTGAAATTCCTTTTTGACCACTATTTCCATGTTATTGGTGGCGTGGTAAGTACAGAAGCTGTAGCTTCCCTATGTTGCTTTCAGTGTATGGAAAACAGAAATCTGTTCTAGTGTGTTACAATTTATGTGAACGGTATCTATCTGGTTTAAGGATGGGCTCCTTTAAAAGTCCATTGAATACCTATTAAACATAAAAGTAGTGGGTGTGCAATATCCAACTGATACCTGAAAGTTAAAGTGATGGGGTCACACTTAGCATTGTTTTAAAAGATCCAGACTGCACTTTAGGTAAAGCAGGGTTCTGTTAACAAGTAGAAGAGAGTAATGCATTGGTATAATTCATACCAATTAATAGTAAGAGTGTCTGGGCCTAACTACACAGGGCAGTGGAGTTAGTACACCCATGCTGCTATGTCCATGTAGCACAGTACCTCCCTCCATGTAGTGCATGGAGGTACTAACCCCGGTGCAGAAACTGAAGAGCCCCACTAGCTTCCAGTTCTTGTTTTCTCTGTTGCATACAGCTCATTTCTGACCTTGTTTTACTGGTCTTGACACACAAGGTGATACTAGCAGTACTGCCAATATACACTAATGGCTAAATATCAAAGTCCTTTGCCTTTATTTGTCACTGTTATGGTGACACAGGGCAGCGGTGTTCATTGGGAATATTCCCGTTCTCCATCAGCATTTCACAACAAGGGCTGGGCTTCTTCCCTGATAACCTTGGGTATGTACAATTTAGACATAATAGGTATGAAAGAGGTGTCTCCACTCCCTCTGTACTTTGTGGGAGTAAAGTAGCATTTCTAAGGCCTAGTTAATGTTATCCTGAGGTAGACATCTAACCTAGGCCAGATGTATCCTGACTTAAAAGTGCTTGTTCCTCTCCACCAATTAATAAGACTCTGAATTAGTATCTGAGGTATACACAACCACATTTTAGAAGTCTAAAGTTAGGTGGGATAAATGTGGTTTTGGTATTACATTTACCTGGTTGCACAGGGCTGTGTTAGATGTAGTCTTATCTGGTCTCAAAAGTAGAGTCATCATCGTTCCGCAGAACATGAGGTTGAGGTGGAACATGTGCTTGAGATCA